GGAAACAAGAGAACGTCCAGTACAACTATCGGGAGCGGCCAAGAGGGGGGTGTCCAAGAGGGGGAGTGCAAATCATGACCGGCGGCATGTGCGCGGCCCAGCGGGGGGACCAGGGACGTAATGAAAAAAGAAGAGGCGCCATGAAATCTGGGGAAATATCACGGCCCCCGCCATGATATCCACCCCCCCTAGTCATTACCCTCCTCTTTGCCGCCCCCGAAACTAACTACCCACGATAAGGTCACAACAGACGGGAAGCGAATTCTGCCTGCTCCGTCAGCGACTGCCCCTCAGCGATGTACTTGCACAGGCACGCGCGCAGGGGCAGCGAAGAAAGAGGCCCCACGAGGCCATCCAGATCCTCTCCGCATGACGCGTCCGTCGAAGACTCGCACAGGCACAGGCGCCCTGGCATCATAGCTTTGCACTCGTGGTCCCGCGCTTGCTGTTCTACGCGCCTCTACGGCAAAAAACGACAAGTGTCCATTGTCAGCGCATGTGCTCTTACATCGTCTGCCTGCGCATCCGACGGGACTGCCGGCCGGAGGAAAGCACGGCGGACGATCGCTGATGCTGAGACCGTGCCAATGCATTCCACTGCGCTCATGTTCAACACGGCACCCAATTGGGGGCAAAGAGACGATGGAGGCTTGATGGTGATGGTAGAGGGCGAGCAGCAAGAGAAAGAGCAGACCAGAGAAGGAGAACAGGGACCCCGCGGGGAGGACCGGAAGGAGCAGCAGCAGCAGCAGCAGCAGCAGCAGCAGCAGCAGCAGGAAGAGGAGCAGGAGGATGGGAAGAGGGGATACGAGGAGGGATTATACCGAGAGGACGAGCAGTAGCAGCACCCGGAGCAGAAGACTGGAGCAGGAATAGGGGACCAAGTGCAACGTGCCGCGTCGGAAGACTGCACGGTGCCCAACGCGGAGACAACCACGCTGGCAGCCAGCATTTGTGACTGCACGGCCCCAGGCTCGGCGCCATGCCTGTGCCTGCACGGTGGCCGGACAGTTCAAACCAAGGGTCCTTCTGTGGCGAAGCATCCGTTGCTATCCTCTAGATACGTAGAGGCCTCCTGCATGGAGGCGACGGGGCATGCCAAATCCGCCGACCCTGTCGGCGCGTGGAAGACGCATCCTGGTCTCGTCATCTTGCGTGGGTCGTCGTCGCCCACGAGATCGTCACGTCGGCTCCAAGAGGGGAGGTCGGCTCCAGGGGAGGGGAGCTGCCCACGACACCGCCACGTCGGCTCCAACAGGGGGAGTGGTCGACTCTCCCCGGGCGAGGGGAGCGGCCGCGACCCGGGGGGGAAGCCAATCTGCTCCCCCCCGGACATTGGGGGGGAAGCCAATCTGAGCAACGTCGCAGCTTACTCGAAGGGAAGCCCCTTCCCTTTAATCCCTTCCCCCCGAGGGGGGGGGGGAAGGGGGGGGGTCACACCCGTATACGCGGGAGGGGGGGTGCACCCGGGCGGCTCCCTCCGGGGGAGGGGAGCGGCCGCGACGCGGAGGGGAGCGACCGCGACCCGGGGGGGAAGCCAATCTGCTCCCCCCCCGGACACGGGATCCCGGACACGGGGGGGAAGCCAATTGAGCAACGTCGCAGCTTACTTGAAGGGAAGCCCCTTCCCTTGAATCCCTTCCCCCCGAGGGGGGGGGGGGGTCACATCGGGATAATTACGCGGGAGGGTGGGGCATCCGGGCGGCTCCCTCCGGGGGAGGGGAGCGGCCGCGACGCGGACGGACACGGGGGGGGAGCCAATCTGAGCAACGTCGTAGCTTAAGGAAGCCCTTTCCATTTAATCCCTTCCCCCCGAGGGTGGGGGGGGGGTCACACTCGGATACGCGGGGGGGGGGGGGGGAGCACTCGGGCGGCTCCCTTCGGGGGAGGGGAGCGGCCGCGACGCGGAGGGGAAGCCAATCTCAGCAACGTCGGTGTTTCCTCGAAGGGGGGGGGTCCCGGAAGGGGGTCCCAAAGCGGGTCCCGGGTCAGAATGCAACCCTCCCGGGGCCCATGGCCCGCCCTCTCCCTCGCATTTCCGTCCAGGGCCGAGGCCTCCAGGGTCGGCGGCACCGGCCGCAAGGCCTCATCAATACACCTCGTTCTTCGAGCCCGGGGCGGAGATCACCTGGAGATGGTTATCACGCATGCTCACCCCTCATCATCCTTCACTGCTCCTCACCAGATGAGGCATAGTATGGCATGGTCACGGACCGTCTCCGCTGCAGTCTCGCAACCGCTGCTCCTCCTGTCAAAAGGCGGGCCATCTCTACAGACAGCAGCGCACCCCGGGCTCCCCTTCGCCTCCAGACCCTGCGCCTGGACGTCGGGCAGGAAGCAAGCTGGTCTTCCACCACACGAGAACACTGCAACATACACGAGAAAACACAGACAATGACAATGACAACACAGTGGGCAAATTTCAAACGGAGTCCATATTCTGCAGCGTCTTGTCGAGGCGGTACGTTGTGGGAACCTGAGTTCGCAAGGGGGAGGAGGAGGAGGAGGAGGAGGAGGAGTAGGAGAAGAAGGAGGAGCGCTTTGGGAACGGCGTCTACGCACACACAAGCTTGAAGCGCTTCCGGGATCGCCCAGAGGCAGCTGCCTGCGCGAATGCGAATAGGGTGCGCGCAAGCTCTGAACATGCCTTCTCACGACATTCCTGCCCTTCCTCCTTCTCCTCCTCCCCGGCCGCCCAGGGGATAGAGAAACCGCCGTTGTGGGTGGGACAAAACACTCCGAACGGAAGGAAACAGGCTTCCGGAACGGGAGCCGAGCCTCGATTTTGGAGGTCCTCGATGCTGCGGGGAGGGCGACCGAGGCTTTTGTAGCATCTCTGGGGGACCTTCTCTGTCCCATTGCGCCGCTACAGTCGGGGCGTTGACCTAAGGAACCCTAAATAAGGAACGGGGCCCCTTTCTCCCATAAGTTGAACTTCGATTTCCCATGGAAAACCTCAGGAAAACAGAAGGCAAACTGCAGCCCAATCAAGGAACACCGAGCCCCTCCCCAACGAAAAGGGTTCCTTCTTCAGGGCCCCGACTGTATGCACGTCGAATTCGTGTCGACCTTGTTTGAGCCCGCGCCGAAGACACGCCGAATCCGCGCACCCGCTTTTCGAGCCGCGCCCGACCGTGGCGACGAGAAGCCCCCGGGAGGGGCAAAAAGTATGAAGACGGCCACATTCCACTCCTACAGTCGGGGCGTTGACCTAAGGAACCTTAAATAAGGAACGAGGCCCCTTTTCTCCATAAGTTAAACTTCGATCCCCCATCGAAGACCAAAGGACAACCTAAGTCAAGCTGCGAAACAATTAAGAAACACGGAGCCCCTCCCCAACGAAAAGGGTTCCTTGTCCAGCGCCCCGACTGTAAGGCTGGGCAACCTCAGCCCACCCGCCGGCCCCAAGGCCGAGCCTCCATGCTGGAGGGAAGAGAGCAGTATCCAGGGCGGAAGAGAAGACGCCTCCAGAGGCGAGGCGAGGACCACAAAGCTCAGAAGCCCTCTCTCGGGTCGGGCGAAAGGGGGAGAAGTGAGAAGGGGCGGGCCTTCTCAGAAGGCTCAGAAATCCCAGGCCTTCTGGACAATGTTCTCAGCCCCGAGGACACAGAGGACCTCTCAGAAAGCCTCCGCCTCTTGACAAAAGGCCTTCTCCTCCGAACTCCCCCCCTCGTTCGCAGCCGACTCTCTCGGGTCGGGCAACCCAGACCCCCGACGTCGTGAGAAACCCACGACGTCGGCCCCCCAAAGTCTGGAGACCTTTCCTGGGACCGGTTTTTCATCCCGTTTTCTGACGCTCCCGAGGCCTGGCGGGGGCCTCCCGAGGCCGAAAATCATCAAAAACCCTCATCGTGAGTTTCTCGCGACGTCGGAGGTCTGGGGACATGGGGGGGGGGACAGCAAAAAGCGGGGTCAGCGAAGCGGTCCACATAGCTGGCTTCCACGTCGCCCCTCGGCGCCGGAGGCGCCAGCGTGTCGAGGACAGCGCCCAGCGGCGGAGCCGAAGCCAGCTGCACGCAGCGGATGAGGTACCCCCCGTTTCCACTCCCCCTGTCGTCCGGCCCGAGAGGAGGGAGGGAGGAGGAGGAGGACGAGGAGGAGGAGGAGAAGGAGGAGGAGGAGGATGAGAGAGGGAGAAGAGGAGGAGGAGGAGGAGGAGGAAGAGGAGGAGGGTGGGAGGAGCTGGAGGATGGAGGAGGAGGAGGAGGAGGAAGAGGAGGATGGGTGGGAGGAGCTGGAGGATGGAGGAGGAGGGTTTCTTGTCTCACCTTCCTCCACCTCTTCTTTTTCTCGTGCCTGCCGGGGCCGCCGCTGCGACACGCTAAGCAAAAGCTCCTGATCACGCGACTGTAGACAGCACACCCATCAGACATTTTAAGGAAAACAGGCTTCTATTGAGAAAATCGAGAATCTGGACTGGACCCTGGGCAATTTTGCGGAGCTGTTTGTTTCGTCGATGTTTCGGATTCCTGGACCTGGAAGCGCGTGGAATGGAATCCATTTTCTTAGCTTGAAATGTCTTTTAATTACCAGAACAAGGATGTAAATCACGTACGCATTCAATCGTCTTGGATTGAATGCGTATCGGCGAACAGCGCTCGGTAGCGCCAGATAGCGTCCAATAGCGCCCAGATCTTCCTCCCCCTCCTCCCCCTCCTCCTTCTCATCCTCCTCCTCCTTCTCCTCCTCCTCCTCCTCATTCTCTCTCTCTCTCTATCTCTATTTCTTCTTGTTATTACGCTTAGTAATATTATTCTTATTCATATTAGCATTATTCTTATTGTTATTATTTGTAGTATTATGCTTACTCTTCTTCTTCTTATTATTATTATTAATGTTATGTTTCGTCTTCTTCTTCTTATTATTATTCTTCTTCTTCTTCTTTTTTTTTTTTTTTTTCTCCTCTCTCTCTCTCTCTCAGGCGTGGGGTCGTCGCGCGCGCCATCCCCTCCCACCCAGGGGCGGCCGCCCCTGCGGGGGGATTGATCCGTCCAGTGAGCCGGGTGACTCCAGGGGCTGTCGCCCTTGGAGTCACCGACCGGTGGGAGATGCGCGTAACATGTAGGGCACCGGCAGTGGGAGGCATGAGAAAAAGAAG